GAATTGTATTTGAAACAATTGGTGATCGGAGGGTTTGATCGAGTTTTTGAGATTGGTCGACAATTTCGTAATGAGTCGATTGACACTACTCATAATACCGAGTTTACCACTTGTGAATTTTATATGGCATATTCAGACATGTATGATTTGATGGAATTTACTGAAAAAATGGTTATGGAAATACTGAAAAATTTCAATAATGATTGTGGTGGTAGTAATAATAGTAGTAATGATCATCATGTGTTAGATTATAAGACTAGTAATAATGAAAATTTGAAAATAGATTTTAGTCTCCCTTTTAAACGCATTGATATAATACCAACTTTAGAAGATAAGTTGAAGGTCAAGTTTCCGTCACCAAGTAAATTGCACACTGAAGAATCTAGATTATTTCTTGAACAAATATGTAATGATCATAAAATAACATGCAATCCACCAAAAACTAATTCAAGATTATTTAATAAGGTATAATATACACGGGTGAATGTATTGAGTTTGTAATATAACGTATTTTACATTTTTATATTATACATTTATATTTATTTATATATTTATATAATATAGATTATTGATAAAATTATTGAAACAGAATGTATATCACCAACATTTATAGTAGGATTTCCAAAGATGATGTCACCATTAGCCAAAAGTCACAGAGAAATTGAAGGTTTGTGTGAACGGTTTGAATTGTTGATAGCAAGACGGGAGATAGTTAATGCATATACTGAATTGAACGATCCGTTTGAACAACGTGGACGATTTGAAGAACAGTCACAGCAACGAGATCAAGGGGATGACGAGGCACAATTAATTGATGAGAGTTATTGTAAAAGTTTAGAATATGGTTTGCCACCAACGTAAGTACTTTGAAATCTCTGTGTATGCCAAAATTAGTCGATCAGAATTTTGTATCCAAACACCTCACCCCAAAATTTTAAATTCACTATTATTATATGGGAATTGATGTGTTGTTGTTGTTAATAATGAAATTATTATTATATTTATATATAGGGCTGGTTGGGGTATGGGTATAGATAGATTAATTATGATATTAACAAATAGTTCATCTATTAAAGAGGTAATTAATTTATGATATATTGTCAATTATATATTAATTATGTTGTTGACATATAATATGTACACACATATATTATTTATGTATTACAGGTAATTTTATTCCCTGCCGTTAAAGATCTCGATTAGACAATGATAATGATTAAATTATTTATTATATATATTACAAAAGTAAAATATTAAATTAAATTAATAAAAAATAGTAATAGAAATGAAATATTGTATGTATATTTATATTATTTATATTTATATATAATCTATAGAATTTTGTGCAAAAGATCTAAATGTATGTATAAATTTATTATTTACCCTGTTACGATAAAAATGTCCCTTTCTCCCCTTTTAAAATAAATAAATGAATGTAACTAAAATAAATAAAATGAAAGATTCCCATAAAATCAAAGATCACATATATATGTATGTATGTAATATTTAAATAGGTTACAAAGTAGTGTGCTATATGCACATTATTATCATTATTATAAAATTTATATAAAGCATTAAAAAATGAATTAAAAGAAAGCAAAAAATATATATATAAAGTAAAAAATGAAATTTTTTTAAAAAAGATATACATATATATATATTTATGTAGTGTAAAGTATGGAATGTAT